TCCGCTAGGCGTCGCTGGGCGCCTGCGGCGGCGGTGTCCCCCCAACGCACCCCTTGGGCCTGAGGAGCGAGACAGGCAGCCATCCGCCATCACGACGTGCTTGGGGCAGAGGTGACGTGTGAAATCAGCCCCCCACGCCCGTTGTTGGGTGGGTGCTCCTGGGGAGGTCACCTGTGTCCATCGGTGGTGGGTGACACGTAAGCAACTCCTGATGCCACTTCAGGGTATCAGGAGCGAGGAGTTAAAAGTGTAGCTTGTGACTGGGTCTGTACGTGTATGGAGTAGTGGGAAACATGGATCTATAGGTACCAGTTGCACTTCTCATACTGGTGCCTATGGATCGGAGGACCTCCGGTGCCTTGCAAGACCGTGGGAGGCGATCCACGTCGTGCCTCGCCTCTAATGTAAACGTTAATGATGGCACATGGCGATTTGTGGAAAAAACTCGAAGCTTCTCAGTACTGAAGTTTGGAAACAGCTGTTCTACGGCTTGGTGGGTTCAAAGAGATGTTAGGTGGCTGCCAGACCGCTTAGTCAGTTGTGTGCTTATCACCACACCGTCTGCTCTCTTTTGCCTGCCTCTGTCTCCCTTACTGTCTTTCCTAGTCATCTATGTTCTCCCTTGAACTCATGTCTGAACTTTTTGACTTTTCCGGACTTTTTTTTGTGGTCGTGTTTTAATGATGGGTTACACTACACTCTTCCATATGGAAGGAGGGCCAGGGTAGTCCTGTAATTTTTGGCACTACTGTAGCAAATGAAAACTTGGAATACCAGTCATACAAGTATGAAATACCATTATGGTATGTAAGGGGTTGGAAATTTCTGTCATTCCAGTTAAGGATCTGTAGATTCAAAGATTTGCCCCTTTTTCTTTGTTACTGAAAGTTACTTTCCTCTTTGTTTATCACAAGTAACGTTCCTACGTAAGGGAGTCCAGAAACTTTTATTCTTGCCAAGGGACTGGCTTTTTCAGATGTGTTTTCAGTATCTTAGTTAAAGTGTGTGTGGGGAAACCCCACCAAAGGCTCAGTTCAGGAGCACTTTAAGAAACTTTTTAGTTAAGTTTATTAATGGGCAAATAGTATTTGCTTTTTACTTAAATTGTGATTGTTACCTTTAGTTTCAGTTCAGGAAAAGTGGAAGTGGAACTCACAGGGCTAAAGGGAACAGGACTGACAAACTCGACCTTGGTGGGATACTCCCGTCTTAAAAAATCCCTGCTCTGCTAAAAGCCTCTTGATCCTTGTGTGTGAGTCTTGACAAGTCCTTTGTGTCTCTGTCTCTCCGTGTGTATGCTGTGTCCTGCATAGATGAGATGGCTGCATTGGTTCAGTTCTGAAATTTTTATGGAAAAGGATAATTTGTCTTGGCTGAGCAGATAGTTGGACTTCCTTCCAAAGCTACCAGAGTGGCCAGCTGGAATGATAAATGGCCAGTTTGGAGCCATATTAATAATGAGGCATGTTACACTTATCTTTTATGAGTTGTTTTAAATCTGTGAAAACCAAGTTGGAAGAGAAATGACATTTTAAAATATTCAGAAACAGCTAAGATTTCTTCTCGGAGAATGCCTCTGCAGGAATCCCGGAACACTTCAGTTGTCATCTAATTATGACTGACAAGGTTAGCAGGTTCAGGGAAGCCCAGGAAACCTAATTTTTCCCTGAAGCAAAGTAACTCCCTGTTTTTGTGTCAGCTAGCTTACTGCCTACTTTATGGCTTTTCTGTATTTACTTTGCTGTCAACACCTTCAAGGAACAGAGGTTTTCATTTCAAGTTAACAAAAGTGAAAAATTTCCATCAAATTTGATATTGTGTGGGTTACACATCTTGATCAAACTTCAAAAGGTATTTTATGTGCAAATGAAATGTAGAAGGAATCTTATGCCTTTGAGTCTGTGTGTTGCTGCAGTCTTGCAGACAAATTCTCAGTGTCCTTTAGTAGTCTCCGAAGCACTCCATGCATGGAAGGAAGAATGTGTGACAATTATATTGCCCAAAGAGATTGTATACCAGCAATTACTGTATGAGAACTGTATTAATATCTACAGTGGAATTTTTCTGGAGCAACTTTTTAATGTAGGGGGAGCATTACATTATTAACATTCATTTTTATGTTTTTTCAAGGTTATTTTTCTACCTCTCCAATACTCGTGCTCAGTGCTTATTTTCTGAATGGAGTTGCTCTTGGGTGATATGATTTGATGTCTATGGATCATTCCATTCACATGAGTTAACATTCAGTGTTATGCAACAGCTCTGTAATACTCCTGCATTTCTGTTGTCAAGAAGACACTTCCTAATGCAACTGAGTAGTAGGAACTGTAATTCTTGTTTTGGGAGGGGAAAAAAAATTGCAGTCAGAGAGAAGGGCTGTTTCTTAGCCTGGTTTCCTAAAGGAAACCAGGGGTAAAGCAGCTCAGACCTACATGTGTCCATTGGCCCTTCTCCCTCAATAGTTTTTGAATCCATTGATTGGTATTAATTACATTTGACAGCGGGCTGCCTCTTGCACACAGTTGGCAGACTGAGCAAAGATGGGTTGGAGCTGTATGAGAGGATGGGGATACTGAAGTGTATGGGGAGAGGGGATGAAGCACTTAGGAGGTACCAGGAAATATTTCAGTAGGAGTGTGTGATGAATTAAAGGCATTGTGAGACACTGAGTGGGGGGGAACTGAGGGTGCAGAATATAAATCACAGAAAACAAGGTTCTGTAGATTTGCTACTCTTGTTTTTAGTAGTGATATAAATGTAATCAGAACAGACTTTTATGTAAAGATAGTTTTGACTGATTTCTTTTTCTTGAAAAGAAATGGTCCTCTGGTATACTGCCTTCCAAAAGACAGTGTTGTTATATTCATTCTTTCTTCCCAGGAGAGCACCCTGTGCTTCAGGAGAAGAGCTTTTGTTTTGTTAGTTCAGTCCAGTTTGGAGCTACTCACAAGAATGCCAGAACTGAGAATGATTTTGTCCTTTATGTACTGAAATAGGATGCTTGGAGGTGTTTCAGAATTGCACTGATCAATCAGCGCTCTCTCAAACACAGCAAATTTGCTTGTATCTCTGCATCTGACTACAGCAGAGAGTAGAACACACCTGTGCTAGCTTTAAGCTAGCTGTCATGGTTTGAAAAGTAGCTGTCAGTCTAGAAAAGGAAGTTTGGAGCTCAGCACATCCTGTGAAAGCAATGCGGGAAACTCGTATTGGTACAGTGAGCCTGCTGGGAGCTCGAGACTGCTGTGGCTCAGCTGCTGCTGCGCCCTGAGAAACCTTGCCAACAGCTGCTCAGGTGTGTTCATGCTGTATTGCACTTGCTGTGGTGTGCAGTCATGGATGTGAGTTTGGGCTGAATTTGAGTCAGTGATCAGTCTCAACATAAAGACATCCTCCTGTTAGACCCCCTGGGCTAACTGGTTTCTTTGATGTATTACACTTTCAAGTCTGCTGTTGCTCTTGCAACAAGACGTAATGTCAAACTTTATAATTTCAAGTATTAATGTACGTACCAAGATTGTTCAAAGTAATTTTGGCTGCTCTGCCTATCAGGGCTGAGCTGGTACTGACATTCACAGGCAGTATTTGCCATCTCTCCTCACCAAAATTAACTTCGAGTTCTGTCATCTTTGTTGTATTTGTGTGTAAGTTGGTGCAACTTCCCTTTTAGATTGGTTTACAGATGTGGTTGGAAAGCACTTACATTGTTTCAGATACACTGACTTGCTTCCCATTAGCAGCCTGGTGTGTGAATAATGGTCATAATAACCCTAATAATACTTTGCAAATTGAGTGTTGCTTTCCTTGCAATAGATCTTTAAAGATCTTTTCTTTGAGATATAGTTTCATTTCTACACAGATCATTCCTGTAATACTTTTTTTTTGGCCTTCTCCCTCATATGATTCATGGATACAAAATTCACATTCAAGGAAGACATATGTCTTAGGTTTCCATAGTTAATGAACGTAACTATTTCATGTGTATGAACATGTGAAGTTCTATGATGATAAACATCAGTAAATATTTAAGAGCCTGAAAAGTTTATAGTAAAATTAACTATGTGAGCCGAAGCTGAATCCCATTCAGCTGGGTAAGGCAAGCCCATAAGGTCTAGTTATGAACCATTACTTACTTGTTATT